AAAAAAAAAAAAAAAAAAAAAAAAACGGAACTCTTTTTCAATAAATCCTGACTGGTAACTGTAAACAAAAATTACCAACCTCTGGGATATTGAATCTTCGTACAAGACTAGCTCAGAGAGTTCCAACGAGGCGACACATAATGCATAGATATTTCCCGTGACAGTCCCTATCAGCAGTCGGGCGTCTTGCAAGCCATCGTTCTGCATAACGCAACAAGTGATTCTTTTGAGTCTGAATAATAGATATACTAGACGTCAAAAATATCTGAAAGGAATTCTAAAATAACAGACTGTAATATCAAACCTTTCTTCATGCGTCGCAGTTGTTCTTTCAATCACATCTCCATTAACCTGATACCTATGAAATGACTGATCGCTACATAAAACAATAAAACAACCTAAGCCAATTGAGAAGTATATGTGAGAAACAGCAACATTTTTAGGAGTATAAGAGGTCCATTCAACGTTTTCGGCTCCAAACCTAAAAAACTAACTTCTGAAACAAATCGAAAACCGTAATACCATTAGGAAAATGTTATTTATTTAACTTACACTCTGATCTGGCCATCACTAGTTCCAATAACAAGTAATCCTAACACATGATCTACAGCAAAAGCAGAAACATTTTGAGGGAATCCATGCCGCAATGTCTGAAACTACCGAAATAGGTTTCTGAATCATACTTTTTAAGAAACTATTTCATAACATTAAACCCTTTTTTCTTAACTCTTGGGACAAAAAATTAACAGGTGACCAAAAAACTGACGACATGCATTACTAGTAGTAATACAGAAAGGATAAAAGATGCAAAATAATAACGACAAGAATGGTTGAAAAAATTTCAACAAAGATATTTTCTATTGAATTAAAAAAAAAAAAGAGAAATTGAAGAAAACGAAATAGGGGCTGCAAATCTCCAGTGGAAAAACTCTGCTACTCAACAGTGACAGGAAAAGTCATCATTTTGATACTATCTCAATGACCTCCAAAAAAAAAAGAAAAAATGGCATGATTATGCAAGAATAAGAAACCTTGATTTATCAAAAAAAAAATCTACAAGTTCACTGTCTACCTGTGAGAAGTTGAAGAAGTCATTGATTTCTTCAGGTTTTATATCCCCAGCGCTATAGAAATGACTTCGAATAAAACGCAGCATCAGCTACCGGACATCCAACCTATCATATAGAATAAAAACCAACTTAACAACCAACGTAAAGAATGGCAAACACGTAATACGTCAATAAGTATTTCATTATCAGTTTTATTTCAGCGAAAAAAAAACTGAGTTTCAGACAATGAATAATGCGTAACAAAAAAGAGACGTCAAAAACGAAATCAAAACATTTCAACTTCCATTTAAGTGATTAAAAAGTATGAAACGAAGAAAAAAAAAACAGCTGGAAAAAAAAAGAATTTGTTGATGACTAATTTTGAGAAATATGATAATTGAAAACAGAAAAAAAAAAACCAATTTTTTCTTTTTCCTCCAAACATATAAATTTGTTGACAGTAAAAAATATACACAACAGGCAGTTTCTACCACCTAAACTAGACACTAACTTTCGTTTAGATTGTTTAATAACATATAAACGAACAACAGCAACAAGAAACTATCGATAAAACCTCTCTACGACAGTACAAAAGTATCGTTGTCCTTTTTTTTTTTTCAAGTATACTTCTAACATAAAATTAGCAAAACAAATGGGAAAAAAAAACGAGGAATAGAGGAAAACTGACAAAGATAACAAAATTTTCACATTACTGTTCTCTTTGTTTGTTGGACTTTTTCAAGTACCCTATTGAGAAGACGATGAAACAACAGAACCCAAAACTAGTTACATCTGGAACAACTTTACAGTCCTCATCATCATTAAGACCCGTTAATAATCACAGAACGGAGATAACTGAATGCTTATCCGTTTATCTGTTCACTGGTTTAGATGTGCAACAAAAAGAAAAGCAGAAGAAGGAGATAAAAATAACTAAGACAAGGCTTCGCTTATCTGCCTCTTTCCTTTCTTTTCTTTTTTTAGAAATAAGCGCTCAAAATATCAGCCAACAGCAGATCATCAGAAATGTATGCTAAATAAACTAAGCAGCTAAACTAATCAGTGGTTTATTCGGCACTTTCTTCCTCTTCTCTTCCAATAACAAGTACCTGATTTGATCAATGAGAACCATATGACAAATATTTTTCAGCACTTTTATAGTTAGTGAAAACAAATGCACAAATTTTTTTTTTTTAAGCCCTCGTCAAACAAGTATTCCACATCTTTCCTTTTCAAGTTTCAAAATTCCTTTACTATATGTATATCTGAAAAAGGTTGGTGTTTTTTTTTTTTTTTTTGGAAAGAATGGAGAAGTTTTTTTTTAATTTCACCAAAAAGATATTAAGTGCACATATAACAACTATGAAATTTCCAGGTTTCCCTGGGATACATAATACGCAAATGGCGATAGTGAAGATTGCAGGAAGACGTCAAAAATAGAGGAAAGAAAAGAATAACAACAGACGGTGATGAAAAAAAAAAAAAAGTTTTCGATGAAAACTACAAATTTGATGAAAAAAAAAAATCCTTTAGCCATCATTAATGAGCAGAATACACATGAAGGTTATTATGAGCAACAAACAACAACAACAACAAACACCACCACCATCACCACCCATCGCCACCACTACTACCACTACCATCACCGTCACCAACAGCAGCAGCAGCGGCAGCAATATAACAGCAGCAAATACCCAGTAAAAATGACAACAAAAAACCGCAGTGACAGATCGGTAAGAAAAAAAAAAAGGTTACTTGTTGTTCAAATACCGTTCGTTTTTGATGTACATTGTTCCGATGGTGAACAAATCAAACCATCATCATCATCAACATCATCATCATCATCATCATCATCACCAGATGGTATCTAACATTTATACTGTTTAGGTTACACATACGCCTTCTGTTTCCTCATCAAATAACCGCAGCTTACAATTTTTTGTTGTTGTTTGGCCATTAAATTTTTCAATATACAAAACCGAAACAAAAAGTTATTGTTCCCCAAATTTTGCAGAAAAAAAATTGATAGAAAGAAAACTGTTCTTTTTTTTAATGATCTACTCTACTACCAATATATCATCTGCAGTAATTCTAACTGATCTAAAAGACTTTAAATCATAAAAATTTGAACGAATAAATGTTGAATGCTTGCAAAACATCTCAAAAGATGACCAATGACAAGTAGATAGCTAACTCGGATACAATCAAATATTATTGTGGCCCACAGTGTCTCTGTCATTCAATTATTATTAGCTTTTGTTCTAATAATCAGTGTGCAGTTGGATCCTTCAGTTCACTGTTCCTTCTTTAAGCAGCATCTCTAGTGAAGCATGAAAAAAAAAGTCTTGAGACACCCTCAAGAAGTTGCTATTAGAAAAAAATGTTAAATTATTGAATCTAGAAGCACAGATCTTTACGAATGAATATTCCAAGTGTTATACCGCATTGGATATGTATGATTTGAAGTTACAACAACTAAAACCTTTACTCAGTAGAGTGTTCAAAAAAATCTTTCTAATTCAGCAGAAAATACGTTTTTTTCTTTTTTTTTTTGTCGCTTTTTAATCATCAAACATTAAAACTGTTGCCAAACAAACTGCTCCACTTTTCTTTGCCTCCTTCGTTCGCTCGTTCACTTTCTTTAGTTTTTTTTTTTTTTTCTTTAATACTGGTCATAAAACATAT